AATATAAGATCAATATACGAATTCAATTAATGGCATTCTTGTACACCAACAATAATCAATTTAAAAACATAATAGAGAAAAGATCCTATTTACAACTGCAACAAAAACTGTAAGGTACCAGGAACAAATAAATGAATAAATACATAAATAAACAAAAAAAGATTAAAACTCAGTATTACAATGATGGCAATTTCCCCCAAGTTCACTTAAAATAAAAAATAATTTCAAGGGGCGCCTGGGTGGCTCAGTTGGTTAAGCGACTGCCTTCGGCTCAGGTCATGATCCTGGAGTCCCGGGATCGAGTCCCACATCGGCTCCCTGCTCAGCGGGGAGTCTGCTTCTCCCTCTGACCCTCTTCCCTCTCGTGCTCTCTATCTCTCATTCTCTCTCTCTCTAATAAATTTAAAAAAATAATAATAATTTCAATCAAAATGCCAACAGTGTTTTATGTTTTACATGGATAAACTGATTCTAAAATTCATATACAAAAGTGGCAAGAATGGTTAACATAATTTTGAAGAGCAAGGTAGGGGAAATGTGGATTAACACAAAGTTATAGAAATAGACCAATGGAACAAAAGAGAGAGCCTAAAAATGGAACCTGAATATGACAGAGGTTGCATTACAATTTAGATGGGCTATTTGATAAATGGTGCAGAAAGCATAGTGCTTATTCATACGAAAAATAAAATTATGTTCTTCATAATGTAGAAAAAATATATTTTAAGGGATTGGAGATATGAGTCAAAAAAATCAAATTTTAAAAATTGCTAGGGGCACCTGGGTGGCTCAGGTGGTTAAGCATCTGACTCTTGAGGCTCGGGTCATGACCTCGGGTCCTGGGATGGAACCCCACATCGGGCTCTGCACTCAGCACAGAATCTGCTTCAGATTCTCTCTCTCCCTTGGCCCCTCCCCCCTGCTCACGCCCACTCACTCACTCTCTCAAATTAATAGATCTTTAAAAAAATAAATAAATAAAACAAATAACCTAACAGAACAACGGACAAAGTAGCAAATGAGTGAAATCACAGGAGAGAAACCCCAAACGGCCAATAAACCTAAGAAAACATGTTCAACCTTAAAAGGGGAATGAAAATTACTATGGGATTGAGATACTGTTTTAAAGGCTGGCAAAAACTTAAAAGCCTGAGAACACCATGATGGGGAAAAATGGGAAATTCATACTCAACTGTGAGTGTAAATTAAAATAACCATTTGGTTTGATGATGTCTGTATCTTACAATGCAACAATTTCACTTTCTGGTACATACCTCATGGAAATTGTTGGACATGTGCAAGGAAGATAGGTATTACAAGAACGTTCACTGCAAAATGGTTTATAACAGCAAAAAAAGTTGGAAAATACATGTTCATAAAAGAATGAGTGAATAAATTGCAGTATATTTATATATTAAACTAAGGCAGTTGAAATGAACGAATTAGTAGTACACACATAAAACTGAGTGAAAAAAAGCAAGCTACAGAATGATTTCACTTAATGGATTTTTAAAACTTGCAAATACCAAGTTTTATAGATCTGTAAACACTCAGCCACAATATAAAAATATTGGGAAGAATGAAAAACCACCATCTTTATGAGAAGGGTTACCTCTGGGGAGGGAGAGGAAAAAGAATGTGAATACCTAGGGGAACAGAGGCAGGCATCAGCTGTGTGTTTAATGACAGTTAGCCAGCCAGCCAGCAAAACAGAAAGACAGATATGATATAATGTTAGGACTTCAAGGCAGTTCAGATATGAGCGCACAGGTGTTTGCTACGTTATTTACTATACTTCTGTATATTTGAAACATTTTATAATATAAACTTCCTTAAAAAGAAACACATTTTTAAAAATGAACTAGAGGGGCCCCTAGGTGTCTCAGTAGGTTAAGCATCTGCCTTTGGCTTAGGTCATGATCCCAGGGTCCTGCAATGGAGCCGCATCGGGCTCCCTGCTCAGCAGGAAGTCTACTTCTCCCTTTCCCTCTGCCCTCCCCCCCAGGTCGTGCTCTCTTTCTCAAATAAATAAAATCTTAATAATAAATAAAAATGGACTAGAGCTACAGCATTAATATAAATACATCTCAAAAACTAAATGTTAAGTTAAAAAATCAAGTTACAGAAACACGTATAGTATGGTATCATTGTATTACATATTTTTGTAAAACAGTTTTTCCAGTTACATACATATTGGTAGGTTGTATAGACTTTCATGGGAATGGTATATTCCAAATTCAGGATGATGGTTACCTCTGGGCAGGGAGTAAGAGGAACAGGACTGGGGAAGGGTACATAGGGAGCTTCAGCCAAATCTGTAAAGATTTCTTTTAAAAGTCTGAAGCAAGGGGCACCTGGCCAGCTCAGTCATTAGAGTGTGAGACTCTTGATCTCAGGGTAGTGAGTTCAAGCCCCACGCTGGGTGTAGAGCTTACTTAAAAATTTAAAATAAATAAATGAAAGTCTGAAGCAAATATGGCATTTGGTAAAGCTCAGTACTGGACGGTTTTTAAAATCCCATATTTATATATATGTATGTACGTATGTAAATAACAGCAGGAACAATAATAAATGAAGAAAATGAATGAGAGCTAACATCTACTTATTATGTAGTAGGCACTCTTCTAAACACATGCATGTATACTCCTAAGAACAACCCGAGGAAGTAGAGTCTGCTTATTTCTAATACTATCTATTATTATTTTATTACTATTAGATTCTATTACTCATTTTACAGATGAGGAACTAAAGCAGAGAGGTGAAGCTAGCCTAAGAATATAAAGTTAGTAAATCGTGAAAGTAAGATATGAAGCCAGGATTTGTGCTCCAGAGTTTACAGCTTAATTACCATGTTATTGTTATAATGTCATTCTCTATTCTTTTCAGTATATCGTAAATAACTCATTTCCAATGTTACTTCTGTATGTTGGAAATTAAAAACACTTTTTAACCCATGACCACAAAAAAAATGCATATACACACATACATATTTCTGTGCAGCTCACACTGGTTCTAAAGATGCTGAAAGAATTCTAGGAATGTCCTGAAAATAGTGGCATCCCAACTACTCTAATTTATCAATTTATATATTTGAGGTTTGGTATTTTTTAGATTGTTATTTTATAATCAAACATTATTTTTCAGTAGTCCTAAGATAATATATATCTGGAATCTTAGATAACTTATATAAAGAAGCATATGATGTAATTCAACCATCTCTTCCTCTCTCATTAGAAGCAAAATTCCATTACTTAGCTTCAGGTCTGAAAACTCACATTAAGAGTTTTTAGTAAGTCATTCTGTCAAGAAATTCAATTTCAATCATTCATTTTTTTCTGGTCTCTCAATGTAAGTTGTTTTTTAAAAGCCCATAGCTAATATTTATACAATAATAAACTGGCATTCTTAGCCATTAAATATTTATCAGCACCGGGGCGCCTGTGTGCCTCAGATGGTTAAGCGTCTGCCTTCGGCTCAGGTCATGATCCCAGGGTCCTGGGATCGAGCCCCACAACGGGCTCCTGGCTCAGCGGGGAGCCTGCTTCTCCCTCTGCCTCTGCCTCTCTCCCTACTCATGCTCTCTCTCTCTGTGTATCTCTGTGTCTCAGATGAATAAATAAAAAAAAAAATCTTAAAAAAAGATATTTATCAGCATTGATTATGTGCTAATCACATACTCCTTGTCCATGGTAACATTGTTACCATTTTGTTTTTAAGATTTATTTATTTATTTTAGGGAGAGAGAGAGTGAGAGTGAGTGAGGGGTGTGGGGTAGGGGCAGAGGGAGAGGGAGAGAATCTCAAGGAGATACCCCGCTGAGCACAGAGCCCACAGGGGGCTCAATCTCAACCCTGAATTCATGACCTGAGCCAAAACCAAGAGTCAAACGCTCAACCAACTGAGCCACTCAGGCATCCCTACCATTTCTTAAAAATGTCTTTTCTCCATCTACATAGCCACATTCTCAATGTTATCATCTACTAACCTATAGAATATGTATTCCAAAAATATGAAAATATGAAAAAGAAGTTCTTGCTTTCAAAGAATTCACTGTCTAGCAGGGGAAAGAGACAAACAAGAATTACCTATAATACATAAATACTTTAAAAAAGGTAATTAAATCTTAACGGTCAAGGGAGATGAAAGGGTGACTGGTGCCCTTTTAACAGCTAACCTGGAACGTGAACAGAAGACAGCAATGGAGACTGTTCTTTCGAGAAAACTTGTCTTAAAAGGAAGAGAGGATGATAGCTAGGGGCGTAGGTTCTAGAGAAGGTTTTAAGATAGAGAAATACTTAGCGTCAACTATTCTGAACTACTTTCCTTGCTACATTCCTCTCCTAACACTAAATCCCAGTTTGAATATAAGCAAGTCACTTAACATTTCTAAGCCCCACGAGAGAGATGTTTAAGAACTCTAAATTACGAGGAAACTTGAATAAATTACCTCTAAAGTTCTTTCTAGACCTAAGATTCTATGATTCTGTCACTATGATTATTTGACCTGTTTAAATTCAAAGGTAAATCATAAAATATTCAGTATGCAAAAAAGAAAAACCAAGACCAATTAAGAGATGAACTAGTTTGTACAATTGCATTCTATTACTTTTGCAAAACAGTTAAAACAATTCCTCTTCTGACTATCAGTAAGATTTTCACAAAAGACAGTGCATTTTTATCAGTTGTTAAAGAGCTTCTCACCCTCAAACCTGTAGACTTCTAAACAATCCCCAAGCAAACCGTTCTGTGACAACGGAAGTAAATTGCTTAAAAGCCCATAGCTTAGACTTGTAAAAGTCATCTTTTAAATGGAAGAGGTTTATAGAAACATGTATATTACATTCTTTCTACAATATATTTGTTCATTATCTTTAAAATTTTAATGTACAGGTTCATAAACAGTTTTTTTTTAAAAAAACTAGCTAAGATGAGATCTTCACAGTAATATGCCTTCTTTTCACTATCACACATTCTGAAATTTAGAACAAGGTTTCCCTTACCTGATATGGACATGGAATGTGATATTCTCTGCAGCGTTCTTGTATCCATGTTGTTTCCCAGATGCCACGGTAAGCTTGTTCATAAAAGTAGCATCCAATTACAACCAAGAGTGGTACGAGATAAAGAATGCTGAAAACACCAATCCGGATCATAAACTTCACCAACTTATCTTGGTTCTCCTTTTCTAATGGAATTTCAATTCGAACTCTGTTTAGGGATATAATGCCAGCTAAGAGGAGAGAAACTCCAACTACCACATACAGGCAGAGGGGAGCAAGAACAAAATATCTCAATGCATCAACATCGTAGAGGCCAACAAAACACACGCCACTGATATTGTCACCTTCAATTTTATTCATCGCTAAAAGGATGATGGTTAGAGTTCCAGGGATGCCCCATGCACTGGCGTGAAATAGCAATGCTTTCTTCTCAATAGCTTCACTACCCCACTTTGGCACAGCTGCCAAGAACCATGTGATGGTAAGAATTACCCACCAAACACTGCCAGCCATAGTAAAAAAATAGAGTACCATAAAAAGCATGGTACAGGCTTTATTATGAGATCCTTGTGTCACTGTGGAAGCCTTATACTGTGCAGGGCTAGATGCATTGCAGGCTACTCGGTCCTCAAGCAAAAACCCAATGAAGAAAATTAATGATACCATCATGTAGCAGACAGCATAAAATATAATAGGTCTTTCAGGATAACGGAATCTTGTGACATCAATCAAAAAAGTTAAAAAAGTAAACAACGTGGCAGAGAGGCAAATGATTGAAATCAATCCTATGAAGTATCGAGCAAATGAAAGTTCTTCTCTCCTAAAGTACATATTTGGACAAGGAGGTGAACAATCACGCACGTGTAAAAAAGAATAACCAAGATCAGGATCAATTTTCAACTCTCGAGGACACCAAAAACCATAGTCCCTCTGCACTGCCACTGGAGCTCCTTCAGTAGGATCACCAGCTAAATTCAGATCCACAAGTCGAGGATATGGCTCATCACAATCTGGGAACCTAAAAAAATACAAGATGAGAACCATTTTCACTTATTGGGAAGTCTATTGATACCTAACAATTTGGATTTCCAAATTTAGCACTCATGACCTTATTCATTCTAATATCCTTGGAGTACAATTACATTAAGTAGGAATAAAGTAAATGTTGATTCTTGTTTATGAGCCATACAATTAGACTGTCCACTGTTGATCAAGACATGATATGGTTTTATACTTAATTTAGTTTTGGCTTCAAAAACAATACTTTTTTTAAGTTTATTTATTTTTTTTTAGTAATTTCTACTCCCAACATGGGGCTTGAACTCACAACCCCTGAGAACAAGAGTTGCATGCTCTTCTGAGCTAGCCAGGAGCCCCAAAGAGTATTCTTTTAATTAAAATAGTCTAAAATAGCCATCAATAAGTAACAATGTATACACAGAATATTTAAGACACACACTTTAAAATAAGATTTTAAAATATAAACATACATTATTATAAAAGAAATGAATACATAGCTCTAACAAAAGAGTAGCTTTTTCCCAATCTTTAACTACAGTTACCCTAGATTCAGTGGAACTTCCTCAAGCAGAAATGTTAAAAAATTTTCCCAAACGCATAGCCCAAGGTGCTTTGAATTACATTAGCAATAAAAATCCTTATAAGTGGCTGAGTTTTTAGATCTTTTCTTCCCATTTTATATTTGCTCCCTGCTTAGCATATTGATTAATTACAATCCTTCTAAGGTCTCTAATGTGAACTACTTCTTTCTTACCACCCCTAATTTCTCTCCAATCCATTACATTCTCTGACTCAGTTATTTTCAAACTTTGGTGTACATAAGAAAAACTTAATATTGTTTTAAAAATAAAAGTTCAGGGGCACCTGGGTGGCTCAGTTGGTTAAGTGCCTGCCTTCGGCTTAGGTCATGATCCAGGAGTCCTGGGATCAAGCCCTAAGTCGGGCTCCCTGCTCAGTGGGAAGTCTGCTTCTCCCTCTCTCTCTGCCCCTGCTTGTGCTCTCTCTCTCTCACTCACTCTCTCAAATAAATAAAATCTTTTAAAAAAATAAATAAAAATTCTTGGGGCACCTAGGTGGCTCAGTCAGTTAAGCATCTACCCTGAGCTCAGGTCATGATCCCAGGGTCCTGGGATCGAGCCCCGTGTCGGGCTCCCCGCTCAGCAGGGAACCTGCTTCTCCCTCTCCCTCTGTCCTCTTGTTTGTGCTCTCTCTCTTGCTCTAATAAATAATAAAATCTTTAAAATAAATACATAAATAAGAAAATTCTTGCTTCCCACCACCACAAATCATATTACAGTACACCTGTGTTAGGCCCAGAAATTTGCATTTTAGCAAGTTTCCGAAGGGACAAGATCTGCAGACTTGAGAAAGTGTCACAGCTGCAGGACAAATAAAACAGGTTTGTGGTGCAGACACGAGTAAGGATACCATTCTCATGAACTTCTTGCATCTTCAATTTTCTTGCCTGTATCAGTTCCTAAGCCTTCAGACGCCCACTAACTAGATGTCTAATAGTTTATATGCATCAAATAGTTTCCAAGAAACCATCGCTGATATTAAGTTTGACAAAAACATGCATAACCTTATGCTGTAGCTGATTAATCTTTTATTTTCTAATATAATCCATTTTCTTCATTGGACTTGGAATTATAAATCTAAATGAGAGAAACTTATTGCATTTAAGCATTTGTTTATATCCTGCAGTATGTCAGGCATTAAACATAAAAAGACAAAAAACCAGGCTTTCTATCCTGCAGTCTAAAAGGAGATACAAACTTGTAAATACAAAATTCAGCAGTGGGATATATGAACAAACTCTATATGAAGTATAAAAATAATACAAAGGATTAATTCTTCCAGAGGATGAGATTATGAAAAACTTCATAAAATAAGACCTCAATACAGGATTTTGAGTCAGTACTTGACAGTTCTGGTGGTATGCCAATCAGTATTCTAGCAAGAAATGCAAGCAATGGCAAAGAGATTTGAAGAGGGTAGTTTAATATTGCTGGAGCATGATGTGTGCATGACTTGTGACAGGAGATCAGGTTGGAGAGATAAGCATGTTGCAGAAGACAGAAAGAGAGAGAACAGTGATATAAAATTTAAAACCATGCAAAGTTATAATTTATGCTTTTATGGCTGTGTTTGTATACCCAATTGCTACTCAATATATATATATACACTTCACTCTATAACCTTTCCAAAAACCAAACTCTTGATTTCTACTCCTTAAGTTTCCCCATTTCCATAAGTGGTAATTCCATTCTTCTAGTTGCTCAGGCCAAAAACCTTGGGGTGATCCTTGAAATCTTTTCCCTCTAATACAAACCTCACAATCTACCAGCAATTTCTATCATTGTACCTTATGACATATCTTCTCATTTCCTCCACTGCCTCTGTGCAGTTTGAGCCTAATATTAATACCTCTTCCCTGAACTTCTGGAGTGTCTCCCGATTGATCTCCATTTCCACACAGCAGTCAGTGATCCTTTACAGACATGCCACTCCTGTGCTCATGATCATGTCTCTCCTGCTCTAAGTCCTCTAACGCTTTCCCACCTCACTAAGAGTCAAATCAAAATTCCATATCAGAGCTACAAAGACCCTACGGCCAGTATTTTTCTGATCTGATATCCTTCCATTCTCCCTAACTTACTTGGCTCCAGATTCTCTGGTTCCCTTGTTCTTTGACTAATCCAAGCATGCTTCCATTTCAGAGCAGTTGCACTAACTGCTGTTTCCTATGCCTAGGTTATTCTTCCCTAGATATCTGTATTATTTGTTTCTCATTTCGTTCGGGTCCCTATTCTAATGCCTCTTTATCAAAAAGACCTTCCCCAATATCGCCATAGAAAAGAGTCCTTCTGGGGCGCCTGGGTGGCTCAGTTGGTTAAGCGACTGCCTTCGGCTCAGGTCATGATCCTGGAGTCCCGGGATCGAGTCCCGCATTGGGCTCCCTGCTCAGCAGGGAGTCTGCTTCTCCCTCTGACCCTCTTCCCTCTCATGCTCTCTATCTCTCTCTCTCTCTCTCTCAAATAAATAAAATCTTTAAAAAAAAAAAAGAGTCCTTCTGCTTCCACCCAACCCTATTCTTTTTCTTATTAGCATTCATTACCATCTGGGCATTATCTATTTATTTGTTATCTCTCCCACCACTACTAGAATTTTAGTTCCATAAGAACCAAGACTATATTTTGTTCACTACTTATCTTTAGCACCTAGACTAATGCCTAGCACACAGGACACATCCAATTAATATTTGTTGAGTTAATGATTGTTGAATAAACATATTCATATAGACCTAACCCAGGTAATTAGAAAGATGACTAGGAGCAGTGTAGAAGATAGACTTGGGCAAAAATGGGAGCAGAGATATTAGTTGATTCAAATAATAACAGAACTAAAACCAGATAAGGCAGGGGCACCTGGCTGGCTGAGTTGGTAGAACATGTGACTCTTATTCTCCAGGTTCTAAGTTCAAGCCCCATGTTGGGTATAGAAATTACTTAAAAATAATAAAACCCACCTTAAAAAGAAATAAAGCTAGTTAGGGTAGTGGGAATGAGACAGATATGAAATTAGTTAGATAAAAGCAATACACCTTATAACTGATTGGATGTGGGAGCTAAGGTCAATGAAGGAGGAACAGAAGATGACTTATAGAGAATTAAAAAATGAGCAAAGGAAAATCAATGTTAGACATACTGAAATTGAGGTATTTGAGACAAATGCAGGCTAGGATTTCCAATGGCTGCTAGATATGCAGATTTGGAACTCAGCAAGATGTCAAAGCTATAGATTTAGGTGTAGGAGTCGGCAGCAGATGAGTAAGAGTTAAAATGAGTGAGATGAGATCATCCTGGGAAAGCACGTAGAATCAAAAAGAATAGGAACAGAACTCTGGAAAGCACCAATACTCAAGGGGTAGTATGAGGAAGAGGATCCAAAAAAAGAAATTAAGAATAATTGGTCTGAGAAATAGCAGACCAGAACAGTTCACATATGACGGCTTAAATGATTTTCATGAGAAGAGGGCAAGCTGAGGTTGAGAATTAGTATGAACTATAGCATAAAGGTGAAATATGGGTTTGAAGTGAGTGATACAGATTTGACAGAGGTGCTGAGAGGAATAAACAGAGATTATTCTGTCGACCAATCTGGAAATTTGCCAAAGACAAACAGCAAACAGAACTGCTACAGTTGGCATCTTAAATATATAGCACAATTAATTTGTAAGAAATGGGTTGAATCAATCCAGTTGGAAATCTGAACAAGTTCAGTGGAAGGAATGAGTTGAAATTGCTAGCAAGAGTGTCATTTCAAGTGACAGACCACAAAGTTTAAGTAAGGAAATAAATGAGATTAGGAAGAGGGATATTAGGAGAGGGGGGAAAAAACCCCAAAGTCTTGGAGTGTCCAGGTAGTTCAAGAGCAATAGGAACAAGAATAGGAGAGATGTAAAGAATGAAAGGTTGTTATAAAAGACCGGTTTGCCAGAATTTAAGGTTTCATAGTTAAATGCCAGGCAATAGTGAGGACATAAAACAGATTTAATCCCATCAAAATAAAGAAGATGATAATGAGATTTCTATACTTGCATATAAACTATTAATATAAAAAGACCACTAAATAATGGGAGTTAGCTACAAGAAACATAAAATAGAGTTCCTGCCAAGTAATTCATAACTGTTATTATAAACACCAAGAAACTAACAGACTTCTAAAAGAGGGACTGTAAACACTTCCACATGTTTGGGGATAAAGTGGATGAATGGTTACATGGGACTAGATAAGGAAACAGGTTAAACAAGTGGGAAATAGAGTGGACAAATACGAGAAAGCAAAATGTCAGTGAACTGACTATAAGAAACTGATATGTTTTATTTCTGAAGTTTTTCCAAATGCCAAATGAGAGTAACAACACCTGCTTTTTACCCACCTCCAAGGGCTATTTTTAGATGACAAAATTAATTTTAATATGAAGGAGAATAGAATGTTCTTTGCAGCATTACTGATAACAGCAAACACCCAGAAATAACTTAAATGACCATCAATAGGAAATGGCTAAGTAACTATGGAATATTAATACAGTAGTCCATTACATAGCAATTAAAAGGAATGAACCAAACCTACAGATATAAATATACATATATTTAAAAAATTTTAATGTTGTTTATAGATATGTATTTATGTAGTAAAAGTATAAAAACAAATATAGAAATGATTAACAACATAGTCAACATAATTATTACCTCATCTCTGGGGAGGAAAGAAGTGAATGAAATCAAGATGGGTACCAAGGAAGGAACTTTCAGCTCTACCTGTATTATTTCTTTAAAAAAAAAAAGTGACTAATCCAAGTATCACAAAATGTTAAGACTGGATAAAGTTAGACAACAATAGTACATAAGCATTTATCTTATTATTCCTTATTTCTGGAACATTTCACAATACAAAAAGGTACAACATTATTATATAAGAAATATAGTATTACTCTACACATTATTACTAACAATAACATTCTCTCATATAAATCTATAAGACTGTCTAGTAAACACTGTCAAATCTTTAGGAAATGCTTATAATCTATATTTTGGAAGTGATCTGAAAAGTATCTGACATTTCCTAATTCTGGTTTGTTAATTCATGACAAAAAAAGAGTTGACAGAACTACTTTAGCCATTAACACGTCTAAATCATACAAATATTTAATTTCCACTAAGTCATCATTAAAGACATTTAATGCTGAGGTAATGATTATTTTCTTCTCTATATTTTCTAATTGCATTACTAATAGCATTACTTGTATAACCAGAAAATAAATTTTTTGAGGGAAAAAAAATCAACTTTATGTCTTGATTGTTTTTAATTCTTTTAAAAATTTCTTCATTGAAATGTTTTTTTCCTTTTCTATCTTTTCATTTAGTGATTTCAAGTTCCTAAGGAAATGAACAATTCTAAGGCCATGAAACTGCTGTTCAAAATTAAGATTAATATACTTCAAAAAAAGTTTTTAAAACTGATGAACTAGAGGACAAGTAATTTTAAACATACTGTAGCATTAAGTAATGATCCATGAAAATCTATGATTTTCGCACCTACTGCATTCCATATCTTCAGGCCAAGGAACACCAAACATCTCCATGAGCTCCGAACACTCACTGTAAGCCCGCTGACACAGCCTACGACAGGGAAGTGTGACACGTCCATATTCCATACAAATAGGAGCATAGAGTGCACAAAGAAATGGCCGAAAATCCCGAGAACAATCCAGATTCACCATTGGGTGGAATGGCTAGGAAAAAGTTAAAATTGAATAATTAGAGAAAGAATTGTATACAAGTTAAAGCTTCCAATATAGAATATTACAATATTCTTTTTTTTCCCATTTTAAAAATTTCTGAAGGTTATTAAAATTTCTGAAGGAAAGTTTTTGGTTTTTGAAACAAAATCCTCTTCTATATCCCTAAAGATTCTGAATTGGTTAAGACTGAGGTGTATTTCAGAATCTATATGTGTATTTTATTTGTTAGAGGTGATATTAATGAAGAGGCAGGACTGAGAATCACAGTATGATCCATTTTACATAGGAAAGAAAATCCATAAAAGATATGTGCCAAATGCTCAAAAAATGATTATTGCTTGGTGACAGGATTATAAGAGATTTTAATTTTCTTCTTTTTATGTATTTCAATTTCTACATTTTCTTCAACTAACAAGTATCAACAGGAGAGAGCAGACAAAATGCTAAAAGAGGAAAGGGAGTGGGAGTGGAGGAAGAGAAGTAGTTATACATAGCAGTAGTTATTTTGAGAGTGAGGGAGAGAGAAGGATCTCTCACATTTGTCTCATATTTTCCTGTTCTTGTTACATTAAAAAAAATTTTTTTAACTGATATCACATGATGTAAACAGAACTAACACTGTAAACTGATACTAAGGAAACAAAAGGAGAAAATAGTGGCCCCAGACATAAAACCATACTTAAATAATCATTATAACCACAGGAATAGACCAAATATCCCAATAAGTATGCATCTGAGTTTTTTACTATTAAATATTTTTTTCACTTATTTATATAATAGTTTCAGAGTCATTGCTGATTTTGATCTGGTAACAGATATTCTCACCACTAAGCCTTTCTATTGAGTAAGAACCAATCAATTTTTACACTGATACATAATATTTTCCAAAGGCCTCCTATACAAGATGCAGTCAGAAAACCAAGAGTCACTTAAAGAAACTGAGTTAACTATATAATGGACATGGTACCCAACATATAACAATAAACTATATGTGACCATCACTCCCAAGGATGAAGGAGTAGCTTGTGTTAAACCAATGTTTCCATCAAGAACAATTTTAAAATATAGAAAAACAGTTTTAAAACATCTATTTAAAGCTACTGAAGAACTGTTGAAGCAAAAGAACTAGAGAGACCAAGAATATAGAGAGTAGGAAACATGGAAAGGGGCCTGATAAGTGCAGCTGCTTTTCCAAGGAGGCATTCGCTGAATATGGGCATAAGGCAAGAGGCTGAGAATCAAGCTTTGACTAGGCTGGTGCTAGAAACCAGCACAGCTTTGGTGGTCTTACAAGGCTACAGACAAAATTCAAAATGAAAGGAATAAGACATAGGTGAGAAGGGGAAGTGCCAAGGATTGAGTCTGACACAGAGCCAATTTTCCCTTCAAGAAATCTGAAAATTCTGAAGCTGCATGAGGAAGGAGCTAAGAAGCTAAGCAGAAAGCCTCTGAAAAGCAGAGTGGAGATTTTGGTAGTTTTATCATACTGAGGAAACATGGATTAGAGTTCAAGTCCTGCCAGGGGGACTGAACATACCAGACTCTCTCAGCTGGAAGCCTCTGAATAGCTACAGTCTAGTTGCAGTGGCAAATCAGAAGGAGGCAGAGACTTACCAAAAGTGTAACCCTGCCTCAACTCAGCTCAGTCCCTGATGGAATTAAGGTGACCCACCATTTATCTGCTAATTAGAAGAAAGGGTGAACCTTCTCTGGAGTAATAGAACATCATCTGGAACCTCACCAACATTTTGTAATGTCTAACACTCAAAAAAAAAAAAAAATTACTAAGTATTTCAAGAGACAGGACCATATGGGGTGCCTGGGTGGCTTAGTTGGTTCAGCCTTTGGCTCAGGTCATGATCTCAGGGTCCTGGGATCTGGCCCCCCATCAGGCCTTCTGCTCAGCAGGGAGTCTGTTTCTCCTCTCCTTCTGCCCCTTCCCACCTGGCTCATGTGCACTCTCTCTCTCTCTCCTCTCTCTTTGTGTCAAATAAATAAAATTTTTAAAAAGAGAGAGAGAGAGAGGAGACAGGACCATATGATTAAAACCAAGAAAAAAATTACAATGTTTTGGTGATCCAGCTATTAGGCTTAATATACCAGACCGTATATAACTATGTCAAATATGTTCAAGAAAATAACAATGAAGAATTTTGGAATCAAGTGGAAATTTTATAACTGAAATATACAATTGGAATTAAGAACTCATCAGATTTATCAGAAGACAGAATTGGCAAAACAAAAAACAAGGCAATAGGAAATATCCAAACAGAAGCACACAGACCAAGAAATACTGAAAAATACATTAAAAAAAATAAGAGACATGTAAAACATGGGAAAGCCTAAGATATGCATAACTGGAGTCTTAAAAGGTGGGGAGAAAGGCACTATATAAAATATGGCACTATATAAAAATATGATGACTGAGAATTTTCTAAAACTAATTGAAGATAACAATCTACAGATTCAAAATCTTCTGCAAACCCCAAAAAGGATAAATACAAGAAAATCACATCTAGGCAAATGTTAAATTGTTGAAAACTAAAGAAAAATATCTGAAAAGCAGCCAATGGGGGGGCAGGGAGATAATTTACCTTTAACAGAGCAACAGTTAACACTCAGAGCTGACTTTGGAAAACTATAAAACAATAGAATGACTTACTTAAAGAGCTAAGGAAAAATAACTGCAAACTTGTAAGTCTATAGCCAGCAAAAACATCCTTCATAAATGAAGGCAAAATAAAGACATTTTCAGACAGACAAAAAAATCAGTCACCAGCAAACCTACACTCAAGAGTTCTTCAGACAGAAGGAAGATGATCAAAGATGAAAACTCAAAAGTACTTAAAAGCAACAAAAAGGGTGAATATGGGGGAAAATATAAACGAATACCCCCTGTACCAATAAAAAATAATAATGTCTTAAAATACATACAAAACACAGATATATATGTATATTTTAAGATTTTCTTTATTTGACAGGGAGAGGGAGATAGTAAGAGAGAGAGAGCACAAGCAGGGGCAGCAGCAGGCAGAGGGAGAGGGAGAAGTAGGCTCCTTGCTGAGCAAGGAGCCCGATGTGGGGCTCAATCCCAGGACTCTGAGTTCATGACCTGAGCTGAAGGCAGACACTTAACCAACTGAGCCATCCAGATGCCCCCAAAACACAGGTATATTAATATGCATAATAATAAAATGGAAAAGATGGGAGGCCAGAGGGAACACTAATGGGGTAGTGTTTAAAATAATGATTTTATTAAGAGTATTATAAGTCATAGGTACATATCATAATTTCTAGGGTAAACAATAAGAGAATGCACAATGAGGTAAAGCAGAGGGAAACAGTATAACACAAAAGAAGACAAGATTGGAGAGAAAAAGAAATGCAAAACAGTTTGGACACATTAAAATCAAATAGTAAGATAGTAAATATTAGCCCAAGTACAACAGTAATTACATTAGATATACATGGATTAAGAACTCTAAGTAAAGGGTGCCTGGGTGGCTCAGCTGGTTAAGTGTCTGCCTTTGGCTTGGGTCATGATCCCAGAGTCCTGGGATCGAGCCCCGTGTCGGGTTCCCTGCTCTTTTGGGAAGCCTGCTTCTCCCTCTCCCTCTGCCTGCCACTCCCCCTGCTTATGCTCTCTCTGTCAAATAAATAAATAAAATCTTAAAAAAAAAAAAACAGCTCTAAAAAGACTAAGAGTTTTGGACTAGGTAAAAACAAAAAAACACTATGCTGTTTACAAAGACACATTTTTCAATATAAAGAAACAGGTTAAAAGTAAAAGAAAGGTAAATGGTAATGCAAGAACTAACCAAAAGAAAGAGTATATTTTATGACAAGAAGTGTTCCCGGAGATAAAGGGCATTTCATAAGACAAAAGAATCAATTCACCAATACTAAAAAGTAAACCTAAACATATATGCACCACTTAACATAGTTTCAAATTATTTTAATCAAAAATAGGCACAACTAAAAGGGAAAATGTACAAAGCCACACTCCGAGTGAGAGATTGATACACTTCTCTCAGTAAGTGACAGAAGAGCAAGACAAAAATTCTGTAAGAATACAGAAAATCTAAAGAAGCCAATTACAAATTTGATCTAAATAACATATTTATAATCATGATGTCTAACAATGACTGGATCCTATTTAACAGACACACGGAATCTTTATCAAAATTGGCCATATTCTAGATCCTAAAGCATGCCACAACAAACCTGAGAGAATTAAAATCAGTCACAGAAGGGTCTATGACTAAAATGTAAGTAAGGTATAAATCAATTACAGAAAGAGCCCAAACCCAACTGCTTGAAAATTTGGAAATTAGACAACAAACTCCTTCATAACCCATAATTAACAAAGGGAATCATAAGAGAAATGTAAGTGATACATATAATTATATAGATTATATAATCTATGTATAAAAGTAAATAAAGACAATAAAATATCAGCAAAAGCTGTACTCAGAGAAAATCTACAATCTGATATACACATATCAGAAAATAAGAAAGCCTGGGGTGCCTGAGTGGCTCAGCTGTTAGTTAAGCTTCTGCCTTCGGCTCAGGTCATGATCTCAGGGTCCTGGGATCGAGCCCCGCATCAGGCTCCCTGCTCATCGGGAAGCCTACCTCTCCCTCTCCCACTCCCCCCTGCTGGTGTTCCCTCTCTCTCTGTGTCTCTCTCTGTCAAATAAATAAATAAAATATTGAAAAGAAAAGAAAAGAAGAAAGCCTGAAAACAATCAATGATTTAAGCTCCATCTCAAGAAACTAGAAAAAGAATGGCCAAACTTAGGGATGTACAAGGAAGGCAATAACAAGAAAAGAAACAACTTGAATTATCAGTATCAGGAATGAAGGAGAGAACATTACTAGAAAAATAATGTAGATACCATAAATAATAAATTTGACAGGCACCTGGGTGGCTCAGTTGTTAAGTGTCTGCCTTCGGCTCAGGTCATGATCCCAGGGTCCTGGGATCAAGC